GACCTAAGCGAGTGATACACCATTTGAAAGATAATTAAATTCTCTCTCTTTGAGCTATAGAACACTTTTACCTAGCTACTATTTTATTGTTATTAATTATTGATTGAAAATTTCTCATTGAGACTTCAATAGAGATTCTTGATTTTCAAAAGTTCTTTGTGACTGAACCATATGACGCAGCTGAGTGATCTCGATGCCATATGAAAGTTCATACCTTCCTTTATAAATTTGTTATAGATTGTATTTATCTTGCTCATTTTGTTCATACTGTAACTCATGTCTGCAAGAGTGTCCATAGAAATAACATTAATTCAAGTCGCACCTGGGTGATCAGTATGTCAAAAAATTTGCTATACTTTCTAGTTTTAGAAACCGCCGGGAGTACCCTGCTATCTAATTTAGTTTTTGAGATATTGCAATTAAAAGTCAGCGGTCCATGGTGAAACACACTGTATAACAAAGTTAACTTGAAACAAACAATTTGATGTATTCGCATAACACTTGCTTTAGTAATTTATGAAATGTCAATTTTAGATTTTGTGGCAATTTATCAGGAAACTCGGAATTAACAATAATTGTTATTAATTAGTAAAAATTCATGTTAGATGAATTTATTTAATTAATTAAATAATTAAATTATATTAATAAATGATTATTGAAAACTTTATCAAGATTGAATTTAATAAAATTTATACTAATTTTTATAATAAAAATTATTAATTATTTTTTCCGGTATTATTCTAAATTTAAAGTTATCGATTTCAGATTTAGTAAAATATTTAGATCATTAAAACTTTAATATTATATTTATAACGAAATATTATATTTAAAATAAAATGAAACCTATTGATCATTACAATATTTAATTAAAATTTTATTTTATTTATATGTGGTCATAATAAAAATTATAAACTATCAATTATTTAAACCCTTTTAACCACAAATAAATTTAAATACAATCTAAATATTTTCAATAGCCCAATACACAAAGTAAAATTACTGATCCCACTCATTATAACTACTAAACACAAAAATAATCAAGTTAAACTAAACGTTAAAAATTATATTCAAAATGTTAAGCTTTGAGCTGGAACCATTACGGTTGGAGCTGGTAATTGTCATACAACGACAAATTGTTATACCGCGGTGTTATCGTCGACCAGTATAAATGCCCTTTTAGAAAACATATTATATCCGTGATATATTCATGCAGCAAGGGTATATTCTGTAGTCTCAGCGTATCGCCATACTTAATGACCATGGTCCACGCCCCGGTAATCATGGTCACCAATTTATCAGCCGCTGTCTGGGCGTCGCATTTATAATTGCACATGATGATGTAGATCAAGGTGTATTTGCCCTGGTGCAACAAGATCTCCTTTTTGCTCGAGTACAAATCATTCACGTAATAAAAGTGTCGCGCCGCCCACGTGTTGAACATGGTCCACGCGTCATCAGTGACAATTTCGGGATATTCATCAGGGTCAAATTTGGCAGATCCGTATAGAAACACTTGCATTACGATGTAGCCACAGTCGACGATCCTAATTGTTTTGTGTATTGAAAATGGTCTTATTTAAATAACTGATACACACATACACTATATTTAACTATTGCCTAACATTATGTCATACCTGAGTGCATCGTATTCATCCAATGTGTACATACGATCGCCAATCTTAACCTTTTCAGTTTCAGCGTAGAAACTCAGATATTTCATGTACCATGATTTATGCATCGAAATCAATTTCCCCGATAGTACCTTGCTCATTCTGACGTGCAATTCGTTAAAAAGTAGATCCAAAAAGTCTGTGCCAGACGAGTGGCCATCCGTTATGTTTTGTTCCCATTTTCTAGTTTTTATCATTTTGTTGTGTATAAAATAAATATAATTAATTTACTAGTACAGTGAAACCTGGTTAATTAATTTTTCTTATTATTATTATAAAAAATGATAATTTGTTATGAGTCATAACTTATTACTATATTACTTGAATGAAATAATCAAAATCCAGGATTAACCTAGATTTTGTTTGATAACATTATAATTATACCATGCTAGTTACTAGGAATATACAGTACAGTATCACACACTCACCATAATATTAAAAGATTAGTGGCCAGACATATAATAAATGAAACTAACACATATACCATACCTCACCCAATACTCCAGTTTAGTAGTTTGACTCTCGAGGAAATCATCCAGGAAAAATGTGAACACATTCCACACGTTGAGCGCCATGAAATCATCCTGGTGCTTCATATTAGGAAACGAGAATCTCGTGTAGTCAGTCAAGTCTTGAGCGTACTTAAGGGGCGCGCCTTCTATGCCACTCATCAGGGTCTCGAGTAATACCTTGGCGTTTGACACGTACTGGTTGTGGTCGACCCGTTCGACATTTACACCGCGAATCTCAAAGGCCAGTATTTGGTCGTTCAGTTCGTCGCGTTGATAATTGAGCTTGGTGTTATTACAATCTGCCATGGTGGCGTGTTGCTCGCTTATTTGTAATACGGTATAATATTTAGCTTATATCCAAGAGTTCTAAACTATTTATACATTTTGCAAACTAGCGTGTTAAAAAACAATGCAACAAGTACATTAATAAATATTATTTAACACTTGTCAGTGACAAGTTGTCACTAGTAGTTTTTGATTGACAAGAGATTAAAAAAATTAAATTTTAATTTGTATTAAAGTAGTTCTCATTAATTATTAACTATGTTATTACCAAATATTAGAGAGAATTAACAAATGCTTACGACTGTACTACGGCAAAGCATTATCCAGTTAAATTATAATTTGTAATTAAAATAGTTGTTTGGATCGTGTAGAATATACATTGTTAATTTTTCGCGCTAACGTAAAGTTTTACTATTTTTAAATTAATTTAAAAGTTAACACATAGGCTTTAATCAGCCATTTGAAAGCATAGAGATTTCTATTGCGTATAACGTTACAGTCGTTATGTGTTAGTGAATAGGCTTTAGTACTGGTTAGTAAATAACTTTTAAATTAATTTAAAAATAGTAAAACTTTTGGTTAGCGGGAAAAATTAACAAGGTATATTCTACATGGTCCAAACAACTATTTTAAACATTAGTAAATTTTTACATTTACGATGAACAAGAACAAAAGTAGGATAGCCATGGTTATCATCATCATATATATATATATATATTTGTATTGATTGCGTAAGCATGCTACTAGTGCATTTAAAAATTAAAAACAAAACTAACATAACCATTTTAAAACTAACATTTTAAATGTAGTAGTAAAATTGAAAAGCACATGCTATCTAGAAATGTTTACAAAACTTGACAATCTTGATAAGTTGTTAAATTTTAAAGTTTTAATAATTTTGTGTTACATTTACACCGCGAATCTCAAAGGCCAGTATTTGGTGTTTTTGCAATCTACCATGGTGGTGTTGCTCCCTCATTCGCTATATTTATTATATCTATCTATAATACAAGTGCCAGACTATATGAACCGGTTAATTACACAACAACTTATATGTGTAAAGTATGCTTACTTGCAGTGCTCTATGAAAATTTAATGTGTTTTAGTAATTTCTAATGAATTAAATATATTAAAATAATTTATTAATAAAATTACTACTCATTGTAAAAGTGAATGTAATTCATTGTAAATATATTATCAAACAAACAAAAGTATTATTAAAAGCTTGTTAATTTTTTCTATAGTTTACAGCTAAACACCACTATATTCCAAATCAAACTCGACGATATTAACCATAATTATCATGGTGATAGTTTATGCCTAATATAAACATAATATAAAATCCCATGTGCTAAATCCAAAAGGTTGGCCAATATTAGCTAATAATGAATGGGCCGAAAGCTTACGAATTGCATCAAAAATAATTGAATGAATGCATGAATAAAATGAATGAAAAGTCTAGTTTTGAATAATTTTAATGATTAATATTTATTCAATTTTTTTATACACAAAAATGTGCCTGTCTCATGTGATATATGAATTTTATAAGAAATTTTTATTCATCTTAGATGAATTTATATAGTTAAGGCAAAAATTAAATTATTTTAATAAATAATTATAGAAAAATCAATCAAGATTGAATTTAATTAAATTTATACTAATTTTTATAATAAGAATTATTCATTATTTTTCCTGTATTATTCATAATTTAAAGTTATTGATTAATAATTTAGTAAAATATTTAGATCATTAAAATTATAATATTATATTTAAAACAATATGTCTAAAATAAAACGAAACCATTCGACCAGTATTGTATTTATTTAGAATTTTATTTTATTTATATGTGATCATAATAAAATTTTAAACTACCAATTATTTAAAAACGTTTAGCCACAACCAAATTTAAATATAGTCTAGCCCGTTGAGTTCCATGTATTACAAATTATTACAAATAGTAATACCTATAGCATTAATAAATGTCAATGCTACCTACTTTTGAAACACAATGGTCTAGCTTAATATACAAAGTAAAATTACTCATGGCACTGGTTATAATTACTGAAAACAAAGATAATCAATTTAAACAAAACGTTAAAAATAATATTTCAAATGTTAAAATTTGAGCTGGAACCATTACGGTTGGAGCTGGTAATTGTCATACAAAGACAAATTGTTATACCGCGGTGTTATCGTTGACCAGTATAAATACCCTTTTAGGAAGCATGTCATATCCGTGATATATTGATGCAGCAAGGGTATATTATGTAGTCTTAGCGTATCGCCATACTTAATGACCATGGTCCACGCATCAGAAAGCATGGTCACCAATTTATCAGCCGCTGTCTGGGCGTCGCATTTGTAATTGCACATGATGATGTAGATCAAGGTGTATTTGCCCTGGTGCAACAAGATCTCCTTTTTGCTCGAGTACAAATCATTCACGTAGTAAAAGTGTCGCGCCGCCCACGTGTTGAACATGGTCCACGCTTCATCAGTGACAATTTCGGGATATTGATCAGGGTCAAATTTGGCAGATCCGTATAGAAACACTTGCATTACGATATAGCCACTGTCGACGATCCTAATTGTTTCGTGTAATTAAAATAGTCTTATTTAAATATTGGACTTCAATTTTAATTAATGTAATTTAATGACATTATTTATATATATATATTTATTAAAAGTTTAATATTATCTATGATTATCAAAATTCCAATAAGGGCCATTCTATTAGTGACAAATTTCTATCATTTAAACATTAATCTCAATAGTTACTAATGAAACCGATGGAATTATACCCGTTTGGTATGATATACTAATAATATCCAGGTCCGGTAATCTAGCTGAATGCCTTAGGTGTCCAAATCTGTGATTATATCGTTCACCGCACTATAAAACTACAAATTTCTGCTATAAAAACCTATTTAACTACTCATACTATTCCAGTTAGAGTCAGAGTTACAATATTATGAATAAATGTATTTACAGAAAAACATAATTGTTATCGCATGTCGACCGATATAACCACCGATTTGGACACTTAAGACATTCCACTAGATCACCAGACCTGGATATTATTAGTGTATCATACCATACTAGTATAATTTAATCAGTTTTAATGGAAATTAGCGAAAACATTTTCCGTTCGCTTATTGTAAGTCTAAGTTGGGAACATCGAGGCACGAATCTCGATTGATTGGTTTTAATTGTAATGATTAGTTAGTCAGTAACACAATTAACATTTTTTAAATAGCTGCTACACACACATACAATATATTTTACTATTGCCTAACATTATGTCATTCGTTCGCTTATTGTACGTCTAAGTTGGGAATATCGAGTCACGAATCTCGATTGATTGGTTTAAATTGTAATGATTAGTTAGCCAGTAACACAATTAACATTTTCAATTGACTAAACTTGGCGAATCAACTAAATTAGCTTGCTAAATTTACGTTTAACTATCGCTGACATCCTCATATGTTTTATGGACTGTACATAAGTAGAATTGTGTAATTGTATGAGGCTGCTTTATGCCATTAAACAAAAGATAATTTTAGCAATAATTACCGATATATGAACACAAAATAATAGTATAACATTATATACAAT